TATATATATATATATGTTATTTTCACCCATTAGAGGATGAAGAAATTGTTGGTGCTCAAGAAATTCATCCCAACTCTCAGCATCTCTAATGAAAGGTAGGCGATCCGGTCCCAAATTTTTCATCACGTTATCAATGCTCAAACACCAATCCATTTTGAAAGATCCATGTCAAACAAACCAATTCCTAGGACCTAACTAAAAAAGGAAACGAATTTCAAAATCAGAAGGAAATTTAGGGTTGTATTTATTAGTAACCGAATTTGAGTGATGATTTTGCCCGGCCCATTAAAGCTCCTTGAGCTGCTGTATACGTCTATCTTACAATTGAAAGAACAGCCAATTTGCGTAACGGATTTTTGTTTTTTAAAATACGTACTTCCCACCATTTTTAACAAAAGTAAGGAAACCTTGAAGTAGTAGCTAAACTCATCGAGCAGTCATTATTAAACAAAATGTTGGACATTGCAATATAAAGCAATGCATACAAGAATACGAAGCTACGGTGAAAAACTGAAAATTATTTCAGTTGACAAAGCCCACGTGACTGAAGAAAACCGACTTACCAAGATTAGTGACGTTTCATTTCCTGAAATATATTTGTCACCCTTGGGGATAAACGCGGAAGGAATTTGAACAGCTGTATCACAAAAACAAGGGGTGATACGCGTTAACAACTACCAAGTAATTGAAACAGGGCAAATTTCAATAGCTGTCAACACTCCACATGATAGAAATTTTCAAATTCCAAGAGATGTTATTCAAGACAAAGCAAGCATTTTTTAAGACCAACAGAAACAAAACAGCCAATCCTATCAAAGGCTTTCTTGTAAGTTTCTTTGAGGGTAAGCCTGGTAACCTGGTGGTCATGGATTACTTTGTAGAAAGAGCCTCTCCATTTACCAGGGTAAATGTAATATTTAACCCACACAAATCCCCAAAATGATGAGAGCCTCATGCATTAAGGCACCATAATTTGTAGCGCATGTGGTTAACAATATCAGGTAAGATAGTGATAAAGAAGTTAAGAGATCAAAATATTGGGTGAGAAAGGTATGATGTTTGGGGTAATTTGACATGCCATGTTAGTAATAAGTAATACTGCTGAGACCTAACTCCTAAGAGTGTGCTTAGATGGAGAATTAAAATAGAATAATTCATTTGTTTAAAAAATTTTAAATGCCTTAAAATGAAATATTTTGTTTGTATGAAGAATTTACAAAGAAAAAATTAACTAATATTTATTAAAAGATCCATGTCAAACAAACCAATTCCTAGGACCTAACTAAAAAAGGAAACGAATTTCAAAATCAGAAGGAAATTTAGGGTTGTATTTATTAGTAACCGAATTTGAGTGATGATTTTGCCCGGCCCATTAAAGCTCCTTGAGCTGCTGTATACGTCTATCTTACAATTGAAAGAACAGCCAATTTGCGTAACGGATTTTTGTTTTTTAAAATACGTACTTCCCACCATTTTTAACAAAAGTAAGGAAACCTTGAAGTAGTAGCTAAACTCATCGAGCAGTCATTATTAAACAAAATGTTGGACATTGCAATATAAAGCAATGCATACAAGAATACGAAGCTACGGTGAAAAACTGAAAATTATTTCAGTTGACAAAGCCCACGTGACTGAAGAAAACCGACTTACCAAGATTAGTGACGTTTCATTTCCTGAAATATATTTGTCACCCTTGGGGATAAACGCGGAAGGAATTTGAACAGCTGTATCACAAAAACAAGGGGTGATACGCGTTAACAACTACCAAGTAATTGAAACAGGGCAAATTTCAATAGCTGTCAACACTCCACATGATAGAAATTTTCAAATTCCAAGAGATGTTATTCAAGACAAAGCAAGCATTTTTTAAGACCAACAGAAACAAAACAGCCAATCCTATCAAAGGCTTTCTTGTAAGTTTCTTTGAGGGTAAGCCTGGTAACCTGGTGGTCATGGATTACTTTGTAGAAAGAGCCTCTCCATTTACCAGGGTAAATGTAATATTTAACCCACACAAATCCCCAAAATGATGAGAGCCTCATGCATTAAGGCACCATAATTTGTAGCGCATGTGGTTAACAATATCAGGTAAGATAGTGATAAAGAAGTTAAGAGATCAAAATATTGGGTGAGAAAGGTATGATGTTTGGGGTAATTTGACATGCCATGTTAGTAATAAGTAATACTGCTGAGACCTAACTCCTAAGAGTGTGCTTAGATGGAGAATTAAAATAGAATAATTCATTTGTTTAAAAAATTTTAAATGCCTTAAAATGAAATATTTTGTTTGTATGAAGAATTTACAAAGAAAAAATTAACTAATATTTATTATTATAAAATTTAATTTAAAAATCTCAATATATGAATATATTTTAAAAATCAGTTTTATAATGGTAGAATCAAATTATCATATCCAAATTAAAAAATTTACATTTAAAAAATTTGAATTGACTTATATAAACAAAATATTTTAAGAATGATAGAAATTGAAATCAAAGTAATTCAAATATCAAAAATATTCTAATACCAAAAATTTCAAATTCTTTAAATTTCTAAAATTTCTCATCCAAATAGACCATTAGGATTAGAGGAGGTTGAAAATTTTAGTTGGAAATTGGAATGCAAAGGTTTGAGAGACCCAAATTCAAAAATTACACTCATTTCTTTTAACTGCTTCTCCAGTCACCTTTACAGTTGCTACCCACTACACTGCTTGTGATTTTTATGACCCTACAACTGCTCTGTACTTGCTATCCGTACATAAGTCCATCAGAAATGGTGATCATGGCATACAAGTGTTATTATATGTTCTGATTATATCCTTCAGAGTCACCCTTGATTGACCAATGACTGGGGGCCGATATCAGTGTAAACAACAACCAATAAAGATTAAGGTTAAAAAAATAAGGATTATTGTTCACAGGATTACAATCCACTAGACTTTGCATAAGAAGCGGCAGTTGCAGGTCTGGGTGCAGGACAACGATGGTGAATTCCATATGAAAGTTTAAGTTGACAAGTAAAGGCCATAAAATGACCTTATATTTCTAATTCTAACACAAACAAGTACATGAAATGAAAATGGACATGGAATCAGTAGCATTTAGCAGTCATGAAAGAGAACATACCCAAAGTTTCACGCATGCATCAATGATAACTGGGACCAGGCAGATAAAAATAGTTATAGCAGACTGATCAACTTCAAGGCCATAGTGCTCAACAATTATCTCTAGCAAAGTTTGCCAACCAGATTCAGAATGATACCTGCAGGCATCCAGTATCCACCAAAAGCAGTCAACAACATGCATAACCCTACCCTCCACACACACAGACTCACCCAAAAAAAAATAGTTAAAACAAAACTCATTTTCAATGCCATTCCTCGGAGCTTAAAGATTTTCTTCCAAAAGAGACTCAGAAAAGAAGGATCCTTAGACCTAATTATAGACAAAGGAATGCCGTGCGGCCTAATTACTTCCTTTGCAAAGATCTCGACCACTGCTTTTTCAATGTAATGGTATTTGAAATGGATAAAGCAAACACACTTCAATCTATCAACAACTAATATAGCCTCAAACCCTTTTGACTTTGGTAGCTCTACAATAAAATGAAAATCCATTAACAATTCTTCCCAAACCTGAGAAGGAATGCCAACTGGTTGCAAGAGACCCCAAAGTAAAGTAGCCGCAAATTTTTGCTTTTGACATGTGTTATAAGGGAGAAACAGAGGACATGATTAATGAAACCGTGTTCAGAATACACAACGGAGCTTGCATTGTATAGGCTTGTTACAATAAATACCACTGATTATAGGAGATTTTGTTCCTATAAATCAAATATGATTTTGCCTTTACAATATTAATTAAATACAGAATATTGTTGGAAATAGGAGTATTTAATGATTATTACTCTTCCTAGTTTCTTTGTTTAATGTATCTTAGGAAGTTGTGGTATTTTTAATTGTTGTCTTGGAAATAGTTGATGTCATTTATTATCTTTGTAACCACTATCATTATAAATAAGATCATTGTGCTGAGTGGAAAAATACACTCAAGCATAATCAGAAAATGTGTTCCCTATTTCTCTCTTTTAACATGGTATCAGAGCTCCTAATCTAAGGGGCTCTGCTTCCGCAACGCATATTTTTTTTAAGCAAGCTTGGCTGGGCTCTTGAAGCTGTCAAGCTTTCCGACGACTTTCCAGCAACCTTTCTGTTTTTCCGACATTTTTTCTGCTATTTTTCTGGTGACCACCAGATTTCTGTCATGGAAGGGGAAGCTGTTCATCCACCCCGAATAATCAATTTGGAGATTTGTAGAGCATTCATCCTTCCTATAGGTTGAATGGAAAAAATTATTTAAAGTGGTCACAACTTATTCGCACAATATTGTAAGGAAAAGGGAAAATCAGCCACCTGACCGGTGCTGGTCCAAAGGAAGGAGACCCAAATTTTAAAGCATGGGATGAGGAAGATTCATTGATCATTGCTTGGCTATGGAATTCTATGAATACAGAAATTAGTGATACCATTATGTTTCTCAGCACAGCAAAAGAAATTTGGGATGCAATAGAGCAAACTTATTCCAAGGCTAAAGATGCTGCCCAGGTATATGATGTAAAGGTGAAAACTCTAGCTGCAAAACAAGGAAATAAATCTATTACTGAATATGCTACCCAACTGAAGTCCCTTTGGATGGAATTAGATCATCATAGAGCTATCAAGACTAAGTGTGCAGATGATGCTGCTGTACTGAAGGAATTTATTGAGCAAGACAGGGTGTATGGTTTTCTTGTAGGCTTAAACCCTGAGTTTGATCAAGTTAGGATCCAAATCCTTGGAAAATCTGAACTCCCAAGTTTTAATGAGGTGGTTGCAATTGTACGAAGTGAGGAAAGTAGGAGGAATTTGATGCTAGATTCTCCAATTGTAGAAAGCTCAGCCATGGTGGCTAAAAAAGAAAAAAACGGGCAGTCAAAGAAATCAGATTTATAGTGCACTTATTGTAATAGGCCAAGACATACCCAAGAGAAGTGTTGGAAACTACATGGTAAACCTCCTAATCTAGAACTAAAAGGAGGAACATCTCGAAAAGGTGGGCAGGTCTATGTGGCTGAAAAAAATGAAGAAAAAACAAATTCTTCTAGCATACTAGAACCTGCTAGCTTGAGTCAAGAAGAAATAGAAAGGATGAGAGCTTTTTTCAGCAGCCTTGAAACACCATCATGTACTTGTTCTTTGGCGTATTCAGGTATGCTTCCTATTTCATTCGGATTTAATGTCTCAAAAATTATTCCATCTCTTTGGGTTCTTGATTCTGGAGCCACAGATCATATGACTCCATCATCTAAATTCTTCTCTACCTATTTTCCATGTCCCAGCAATAAGAAAATAGCAACTGCAGATGGGACTCTTATAACTGTAGCTGGTATAGGAAACATCCATATAAATTCCTTCATAATCCTAAAAAATGTTCTTCATGTTCCCAAATTGTACACAAATCTTATCTCAGTACAAAAACTTACAAATGACATTTCTTGTAATGTTGTGTTTAATAATAATTGTTGTGTATTCCAGGACAAGGAATCGAGGAGGACGATTGGACGTGCTAGAGAAAGGAATGGCCTTTATCTTCTTGAGGAGCCAAGTTTGTCCATTTCAGAAAAAAAAAAACCAGTCTCATTCTCTCATGTCAAAATATTTATTGTCAAAAAAAGAAAAAATTTTACTCTTTCATTATCGGCTTGGACATCCATCGTTTGAAACCATCAAAGTTATGTTTCCATCTTTGTTTTCTGGAATAAAAATTGATTGTCTTCAATGTGATGTGTGTGAAATCGCAAAACACAAGCGTGTTCCTTATCCATCAAGTACAAAAAAAAGCACATTTCCTTTTTACCTTGTTCATACTGATGTTTGGGGACCGTCTCCTATACCAAATGTGTCTGGGACTCGTTGGTTTGTGACATTTATTGATGATTGCACTCGAGTTACTTGGGTTTTCCTACTTAAACACAAATCTGAAGTAAGCAATGTCTTTCAAAATTTCTTCTCAATGATTAAAAATCAATTTGGTGTGTCCATAAAGAAACTTAGGTCGAACAATGGCAAAGAGTATTTCAATCAAATCATTACTCCGTTTTGTCAAAAAGAGGGAATAATTCATGAGTCTTCTTGTGTCCAAGCACCTCAGCAAAATGGAATTGCTGAACGCAAAAAAATAGACACCTCTTAGATCAAACCCGAGCATTTTTGTTTCAAAAAAATGTTCCAAAAACTTTTTGGGGGGAGGCTGTTCTCAGAGCAACATATCTTATCAATCGTCTTCCCTCTAGAATCTTGGGATTTAGGAGCCCTATGGATGTACTTTCTTGTTTCTATCCTAACATGTCCACCTCTAGCAATCTTACACCAAAGGTCTTTGGGTGTGTCGCATTTGTCCATGTTCATGGTCCAGATTGGGGCAAACTTGATCCTCGAGCTCTAAAATGTGTCTTTGTTAGATACTCCTATACTCAAAAAGGGTATAAGTATTATTATCCTCCTTTAAAAAAATTCTTTATATCTCGGGATGTCACCTTTCATGAGGAACAAAATTATTTTTCACATCCTTATCTTCAGGGGGAAAGTCTTTGGGAAGATAAGGAGAGTCAGTTTGAAGCTTCAACCCTTCCAACTCGAGTTAAATTCTTATGATCTAACCCAAGAACCGGAGCCTAAAAATGCACCAAATCCAATTGAACATGAACCTAAAAAAGCACCAGAACCTCAAGAAAAAAATGCATCAGTTGAATTTGAAAATGATAAGAGGTTTGGGAAGAATCTGGTTTACACAAGAAGATCAAAGGTCGTTCCTGAATCGACACTCGTCCAAGAGGCCAATCCAATTCCTTCATATCAGGTAACAAACTCTGATTTTTTAGCTTCAAATGATAATCTTTCAACTTCCCAAAATGAAATAGAAATTCCAGAACTTGACAATGATCTTTATCTTCCAATTGCTTTTAGAAAAGAAACCAGAAAATGCACAAAAAAACCTCTTTATCCTCTCTCAAACTATCTTTCATTTCACAAATTTTCTCCAACTCATAAAATTTTTCTTGCAAATCTAAACTCTATTTCAATTCCCACCAATGTTTTTGAGGCATTATCTGATAAAAATTGGAAGCAAGCCATGGATACAGAAATGGAGGCATTGGAGAAGAACAAAACATGGGAGTTGGTTTCTTTGCCAAAAGGAAAGAAACCAGTTGGTTGTAAATGGGTATATACAGTGAAGTATAAGGCAAATGGATCAATTGAGAGGTACAAGGCGAGATTGGTTGCTAAAGGTTTCACACAAACCTATGGGATAGATTACTCAGAAACCTTTGCTCCAGTTGCAAAGATGAATACAGTTCGGGTACTATTATCTCTTGCTGCAAATTGCGGTTGGGAATTACAACAATTTGATGTGAAAAATGCTTTCTTACATGGGGAACTTGAGGAGGAATCTATATGGAGGTCCCACCAGGATATGAAGCTGCTGCCAATTCTGTTTGTAGGTTAAAGAAAGCTCTATATGGATTGAAACAATCCCCTCGAGCATGGTTTGGAAGGTTTACCAAGGTCATGACTGCCTTAGTATACAAGCAAAGCCAAGGGGACCACACTTTATTCATCAAACACTCCTTCTTAGGAGAAGTAACTGTATTGTTAGTATATGTGGATGATATAATTGTCACTGGTAATGATCGAAAAGAACAACTTCTCTTAAGCCAACAACTAGCAAGGGATTTTGAGATAAAAACACTTGGGAAATTGAAATATTTTTTGGGAATTGAAGTGTCTCACTCTAAGAAAGGCATTTTCATATCTCAACAGAAATATGTCACAGATTTACTGAAGGAGACAGGCATGGCAGCTTGTAAACCTATGAGTACTCCCATGGACACAAATCTCAAATTAGGAAACTCAGACGATGGTGCAACGGTGGATAAAGAGATGTATCAACGTTTGATTGGAAAATTAATTTACTTGTCTCACACAAGGCCAGATATTGCATTTGCTGTAAGTTTGGTCAGCCAATTTATGCATTGTCCGAGAGAAGTTCATTTGCATGCCATATACAGAATTCTGCAGTACCTCAAGGGGACTCCAGGAAGAGGAATTTTATATAAAAGAAATGGAAATACAAGTCTTGAAGCCTACACTAATGCTGACTATGCAGGATCAATTATTGATAGGAGATCTACTACGGGATATGGCACATTTCTTGGGGGAAACT